CACCAATTCTTTGACATTCCTTCCATTGGGTGTTGACAACTCTTCCCTTTGAGTCTAGGTGGGCTTTGTGACTACCCAGAACACCATGCCACTTCGAGGTCTGGGACAGAAGAGATTGACAGCTTTTACTTCCTGTCCCTTGTAATACTTGCCCTTGGAAGCTGGCATGTAAGAAGTACAGCTACTCTAAGAAGACTCAAAGAATAAATTTGCCATGTTTAGACAGAGGCCATGGAGCCCTGAAGTGCTAGACAATGTAAGAACCTTCTGAGAAGTGAATCTTCCAGCTCCCGCACTGTCAGCTGATGCCACAGAGGCCACAGGAGAATTGCCCCATGAAGCTTTTCCCAAATGCCAGACCCACAAGATTGTGAGCACAATTTATTGGCTGTTTAAAGCTGCTAAGATGGCTTGTTACCTGGAAATAAAGTAGAACTCCAGAGACAGCTTCTCTTTGCCACTCGAGACCCACCCTCCACCCTGTCCTGTCCTTGAAGGTGAAGGAAATAGATTGCATCAATGGGCTTCCCATTGGGCTCAGCCACTGAGACCCTGAGCAGAGTGGAGGACTTGGAGGGAATAGGGAATGGCTGTGTCCTCCCGCTTTCCTCTGTGGTGCCTCCCAGGGTGTCTGCCTTTCTGCTGTGGGCCACAGCTTCTCCAGGGAGCTGTCTCCTGGACACTCCTCTTCTGCATTACTCCTTGATTCTTTCCCTCCCCCACCCTCTTAGGATTGTTATGCTGATGGCCACACACACACACACAGATGTGGCCCCTCTGCACACTGTCCCACACTTTATTCTAAAGTCCCTTTCTTAAACCCTCCTTAATCTGACAGTTACCTCTGTTTCTTCTAGGGAATAGGTAGAGGATCTGAGGGCAGAAAGACTTCACAACCAAAAAGAAGCACCCTGTCTACAACTTTCCACATTCAGGCCACAAAAAAAAAAAAAATTAATTTTGTGACATGCAAGACAAAAATCCTCCTATTCCAAAACCTCCAAGTCATTTTCTTGGTACATCAAATTCCATATGAGAAGCAACAGGATATGGTCTGATAGTAAAAATGCATCAAGTGAAGAACATTTCTTTTTTTTTTTTTGCCTCCATTTACATATCAACAAGGTGGGTAATTATCTTCCCTGTCTCACCTACCAAACCAAACTTGCATAAAGAACAAATGAACCACTGATAGGGAATGTCAATGAGAATTGTTACCTATGGTCACAGGTAGAAGCAACTGTCCTCTTCCCTTTCTTACAGTGCCTGTCTGGCATTTGCAGGTTTATCATTTCAACTTTTAGATTGTGATGATT